TTTGTTAAGTTTGCCATGTGGTTGCTAAACTACATGATAGACACTAGTCTTGTAATGTGCCTTAGAGTGCTTGCATGATATAGCTTCACACAGGTTCTAAAAGAACAAATATTTTGAAATGTTTTGCTTTATATTAAAACTAATTTATATGTAGTCTATAACAGGAATCATAATCTTCCTAATAATTCCTGTCAGTAAGTTGTTGTCCAGATCTTTCATCCAATATGTATATACTCATTCTAAAAAGTGAATAGAAGTAATGGAAGTAGTTCAGTTTTGTGCTTTTCACAGGAAGCTATTGAAATATTTAAAGAAGTCCTGAAGCAGAAATCAGATTTCATAGATGCCTATAAAAGTCTGGGCCAGGCTTATCGGTAAGCAGCTTCAAAATTCTCTTAACTTTAATGTTTCTCTCTCAAATATGCATAGTGCAAAAAACCCCACAAACAAACAAATAAAACATTCACAAATTGGGTTTATGGAAAGGGACACTTTTGAGCAAGAGTGCAAAGCTTGCTAGATGTCTCAAATATTATAGTAGCTTTTCTATGAAACATTTTGTCATGAACCTATAACTTATCTTTAATAATCATAATATTGATTACTTTAAGTCCTATTTTAATAAATCTCATTTTAAAAATTGACTGGATAAAAGTACTAATTTGCTGTTGCTTTTTTATCTAATTGCTCAATAAAATAATTAGAGAACTTGGTAACTTTGAAGCCGCAGCGGAAAATTTTCAGAAGGCATTGATGCTTAATCAAAATCATGTCCAGACGATACAACTGAAGGGCAATACGTTTTATCATCATGGAAGCTTGGATGAAGCCTTGAAAAACTTTAAGGTAAACACTGGCAAAACTGGAGCATGTTATGAAAGTTCTGTCATGTTTGTTTATAACATCTCTTTGGAGAATCTGCAAAGGGTTATAAGAAACAACATTGATGCCATCCTGCACTATTGTATTCGACTCGTAATCAATCTGGCTGCAGTTACTGGTGGATCTCCAAAGGCATCTTCATAGAGAACACATCACGGTAGTCTAGCCAAGTAGTGATCAAGTGTGAATTACTGTCACCAAGGCATCTTAGTCTACTTGGAGCTATAAGTAATGTACAAGGCAGAACTGGGCCAGGGCTTTTCTAGCCATGGCTTCATTCTGCCAGGTAAGAAAGAGCTGTGGTTCCAAAAGAACCCAAAGTCAAAAATAACCTCTTTCAAAGGGAGCACAACCCCACCAGGTAACTACTGGGACCAATGCCACCAGATTACCCAGACATTTACTGACAGATAACAAATCTTTCTGGGTAGGATCTCAGTTTGTTTTATTTCATCCAGACTGATAGACTCCAGGCACCGATTTGGCATTTCTATACCGTATGTAGCTCGGCCTGGACTGGGGAAGCATAACCCAATTCCTAAATGCCACTCAAACAACTCCAACCTGACCTACCCCAGAGTGTGGAGCCTTAACAGAGAAGATGTGCCTCTGTATCCATATTCTCTTTCCCTTTGTATGGGGTGGTATGTGCATGAAGGGGAGAAATGATGGGACCTCCATCATTTCTCCCCTTCATGCATAGACCATGCATGTTCTGCCTGAAGGAGATACTCCTTAAGGTCCCCTGGAGCCAAGCGACCTACAATTATGTATAAAAAAAATTAATGAACAGAAAAACAGCCTTGTTGAAGTAGCTTCCTGGAGGAAAAAAACCCTTTTTTAAAAAGAAATTCGAGAAATTGAACTTGATGGATTCGAACTGTTACTCATGTCTTAGATTTATTTTCCCTTTTCATTGTTCTAGAGGTGTCTTCAAATAGAGCCATATAATGAAGCATGTCAGTACATGAAAGGACTCAGTCATGTTGCCATGGGCCAATTTTATGAAGGAATCAAAGCTCAGACTAAAGTTATGCTAAATGATCCCTTGCCTGGTCAAGCAGCCAGTACAGAATATCTAAAAGTGAAATACCTTAGGGGTAAGTTGCTAATAACAATATAATTAATATTTTCACACAACTCTCTGTATACTTAAACACTGGATTTTTCTTTTTTGAAAAGAAAAGATATTCCTTGTTTGCCTCAGCGATCTAGTTACAGTTTTATGTTTGTATTTTATTTTACTTGAAATATAAATGGTTTAATTACTTTGTCAACTGAACAGATTTCTGGTCATTGACTGTAATAAAGAACTTAACTAGCAGAGAAATGAAATCATCTTCTGGCCATTTTTTAAATATTTTCTCCATTTATGGGATGTTTTACTTAGAAATTTGTATTACTGCAATTGTTCAACTTTTTTATTTCAAAGACTGAGCGATTGACAAAACCTCCAAAGCAGATAAAACAGTTTAAGACAATTGAAATTATTAACATAGATGAAAGGAAGCTAAAACATGTTAAAAAGCTTGGCTATAGAAGTACATTTTGAGTGGAGAACCACCACTAGCAGCTTTGTGATCTTCACAAAACATGCAAGGGGTTAGTTGCTTGCCAACTGTGTAAAACTGTCTGCCACTTTGAAAAATAACAGTCCTGTTGTTTGGGGAAAATATCCAAATAAGATACTAATAAAATAAAATAAGATACTAATAAAATATCCAAATAAGATACTAATAAAATGAGTATGAACTATATTGCTTTACTTTAATTTTCTTTTGAGGGATAGGGGGATACATCAACTGAATTTCATGTGGAGGTATTTTGGAGAGTTTATTAGGGAAAATGTATCTTATTTTCTCCACAGAATATTCTCGCTATCTCCATGCTCATCTTGATATTCCAGTTACGGAATACAACATAGATGCAGATCTTCCTGGAAAGTTTAAAGATCACTGGGTCAAGAATCTTCCTTTTTTGATAGAAGACTATGAAGAACAGCCAGGCCTACAACCAAATATAAAGTGAGTGACTAAAGTGCTATTTTCTTACCAGGCTATGCTGAAAATGTTTAAATGTTTAATTTAGAGCAACTGGCGTATGTCTTTATGCATACTTTAAAAAAAAAAAAAACTTGTCGAATTCCATGGTTTTCTGTTTCATGTAAAATCTAGGAAGAATTTGAAATGTTCTTTTTTTCAGTCTTGCTCAATTTAATACAATTTTACAAAAGCAATAGTAGCTACAATTCCTTATTTCCAAAATAAATTGTGTCAATAACTTTAGAGATTCAAAACATAAAACTATGAAAAATTGATTTTGCAATCATTTATTGAACAAACAACAGATACGGCATTTCCTTCTGTGGAAAAAATGAGTACACTCTTAGTCTTAATGCTGGAATTTCCCCCTTTGGCAAAAACAACTCCAATTGGCATTTCTTATAACTATCTACAGCAGTGTTTCTGGGAGCTGAAGTCCAGACATCTTCAAGCTGCCAAGGTTGTGAAACAATGGTCTACAGTCTCTGGAATTGAACTGGGAGGCATTTCCTAAGCTATGTGATATTTGAGGGGCTTCTTTCCTAGATCGCCTATTTTAAATCACCCCATAGCAGTGATGGTGAACCTTTTAGACACCGAGTGCCCAAAAACTGGCCCCGCCCCCGCTCAACCCCCTGCCGTGCCCCCCTTCGGCCCCACACCATCCCCCACCCCGCCTACCCGCAGGGCCACTCACCGCCTCCAGGGCCCACCACAGATCACCCAGGCAGCCCAGCAGTGCCATGGTGGCCACATGCCTTGCAGCATCAACTGTGTGCAATGGGGCGTGAGGGATGAGTCTTGTCTACACTGCCTGGCTGCCATGTCCTTGGCTGTGCTGCTCCGCGTGGGCCACGCTCAGGGGCGACTCCTCCAGAGGGGTTGCTGGTGAGGAGGGGGTCGTGGGGGGAGGCGAGGCTGGGGCAATGGCACATGTGCCCACAGAGAGCGCTCCGAGTGCCGCCTCTGGCACCCTTGCCATAGGTTCACCACCACTACCCCACGGCATCTTTGATTTAGGTTGAGTTAGTTTTGGCCATTCCAGAACCCACCATTTCTTTTTTTTCTCCCCTAGACATTCCTTGGTGAATTTGCTGGAATGTTTAGGACACTTGTCATGTTGCAAGGTCCACGTTGTGTTGAGCTTCAGTCTTCTGACAGATGGTCTCAAATTATCCTCAAGCACCTTCTGCTGCAATAAAGGATTCATAGTGGATCCTATGATGGGGAGCTGCCCAGGCCCTGAAACAGCAATGCCGCTCCAAACTGTTAAGGTTTCCACTACCATGCTGTACAGTTAGTAGTTTTTCTGGTGAAATGCTCTCTTTTGTTTTCACCAAACATGTTTTTTGTACTGTGGCTAAATAAATCTACCTTTGCCTTTCTGTCCACAGTGCATTATTCCAGAAGTCCTGGTCTTTGCATAACTGTTCATGAGCAAGTTTCAGTCTTGTCTTGGTGTTCTTTCTGAGCAGCAAAGATTTCTTCTTGGCAGACCTCCAATGTAGATCTAATTTGTACAGCTTCTATGTAGACTTAGGCATCTTGACATCAGTAGTGACAAGGTTTATCCATAGGATTACATAATGAAATTCTACTTAGAGACTTATTTCAGCATCTTTCCTTCTGCTCACAGGCCGAACTTGCTGGGATGACCTGACAGATTGGTGGTTATTTGAAATCATTTTTACTTGCAGATGAAAGTTTTTGGATAGTGGAATGATTGATGTCCACTTGTTTGCCAGACTTTTTGTTCCCTTCCCAGACATCTAGGCATCTACAACCTTCTTTCTGAAGATCTCAGTCTTTTTGATCGAAGTGTGGCGATACCACACACTTCAGCAACAAAGTGCAAATCAAGCTAATTGTCTGAAATTTAAATGAGACAGGCTCCCCACAGATTGTTTCTAATGATTTGCATCTGATCTGGTTCATTTGATTCTAATTTTAGGTATTTAACGTAAGGGTGTACTTACTTTGTCCACATGCAGAATCTGCATTTATGTTTATTTAAATTAGTCTACACAATGTAAATGGTGCATGATATTTGTTTTATCCATGTATTAGTATTGTTGAAATGAAGGTCAAATATCTCTATGTTGTAATATATTGAAAAATCCAAACATTTCAATGGGGTATACTTTCTTTTTCACATGATTATATGTGGATGTATATCTCTATATATGTCTGTATACATACACACACAGACACACACAGACACACACATCTTGGTCTATAACCTGCTGATGAAACCGTCATAGAAAACAAGCTGACGTTCTGTCATTCAGAACTTGTGAAAATGTTTTTCAAGCAGCTTCTTATCTATTGGCAACAACATGGCATTTGAAATTTAAGGGCTTTGCATGCTTGTTGGAAGAATGTGTGGCTGTTGAAATTCCTTTAGCGTGCAGGACGAAGCAAGATCCTGTTGGTAAAGAAACAATCCCAGATAACAGTACTGAACTATCTAGCTAGACAGTTATTAATACACAGGCAGTCCCCACTTAATGGCAGTAGTTGGAGCTGGAATTTCCATTATTAAATGATGATATGGTCCTAAAGCACAATGTCATATGACCGCATTGCTTAGCTGCAGCAGTTCTAGCACTTCCAGTTGCTGTTGTTAAGCAAATCTTCTGATGTCATTAAGTGCAACATCATGTGGTCGCCATTTGCTACCTCCTGCTGTTTTTCCCATTGACTTTGCTTGTCAAAAGCCAGCAGTGAAGGTTGCAAATGGCAGTCATGTGACTGGGACGTCATAATGGCGAGCCAATCATTGAATGCCCAGATCATGATTTCATGACCATGGGGTCTCTGCAACCATCATAAGTATGAAGACCAGTTGCAAATACCACTTGTTCAGCACTATCATAAGTTCAAATGATTGCGGAAAGAATGGTTTGGTGACAGTGGCCTTGCACCTTGTTTCTAATGTGGTTAATTCCTAATATTTACTATCTGTTTATGACTTCATAGAAACCCTCTTGATATTTAATATAAACTCTGTTATAATTTTAGAGATGTGCAGCTTCACAAATTTGAAAACTATAAGTCCTCAGTGCAAGAAATGATATGTGTAGCTAATCATTTGGGTTCATTAATGCAATATGAGACTGTTGGATTTCTTCCAAACAAGAGAATGCATAGAGGTAAGCTAGGAAAATATAATCCGAATATCATTTCTCTCGCTATGATCACAGTTGTCTATTTTAAAAACTATAAAACATACTTTCTTCCAACTTGTAGTGCACAGTTCATTCATAGATTATGCAAAAATAGTCAAGTATTTACAAACTGTCATTTCTATGTATCAAATCTATTTAGACAGCTATGTCCAGTGATATCCAACACCAGCTATCATTTATTTCATTGTTTCGCTTAAATTACAATCTGAGCTGAACGTTAACCTCACTGAACACAGCAGGCCTGAGTTTCATGAAATGGTGCAATTCAGTATATGAAGAGAATAAATGTGAGTGGGCTGAACTCATGCCTACTTTGTTTGTCCTTCAGCAATGGGGCTAGCGGTGCTAGAAGTAATGCAAGCTGTACAGCGAACTTGGGTAAACTCAAAGGTGCGGATGAATGGAAAAACCAAGCTGATGCAATGGAGAGATATGTTCGACATTGCTGTGAAATGGAGACGGTAATAAAGGAGAACATTGAGTAGGGATGTGCAAACTATTTGGAAAGGTGCTGTGGTGAAATGGAGTGGCAGTCACAAGGGAAGCATCTTCAGTGTAATTGCACAGACATTCCTGGAAGACCAGAAATGGGCCTCGCCAAACTTTTGAGAGATGTAGCGATGTTTTGCAAAGTGCCCTTCCAAACAGTTTCTACAGTCTTAAAATATATTAAATTCATCCTCATGGATTTTGCTGATTATCGCCATCAGGAATTCTAGCTAAGCAGTCCTAAGCTTTGCAAAAGTAAAGACGCAGTAGACTGAGAAAATTACCTTATCTGAGCTCTGCGTGGTTTCTATTTCATTAGTTCTGGTTGGTGCACCTCAAAAAGAAATGGAAATGATTCAGAAAAGAGACAGATTAAAGGACAATGAGATTTTCAGTCTTCTTGGGGGAAGATTGCATAGTTTATAGAGTTCTTTAGCTTAGAAAAGGGCCATTTTAGAGATTTATCAAATTATTCTAGAACTAGAAGCAGCGGGGTTCTGAAAATCAGTTTCAGGGAAACGGAGATAGAGAAGTAATACCCTCATAATTGTGGGCTTCCAAGAAGTCACTAGTTGCCACTGTGGAACACTGAATTTGTACTAAAATAAACTCCCGTTGGCTCCAACAAGGTTATTCTTATAGGATAATACTGTTTTAGCAATATTACATGTTTATGCTTATGAATGCACTCAATTGAACCAACTGTTTTCTCCCTTAGCTGGTGCTTTTCTATGTGAGCATGTTGGCATTTTCAGGATTAATTTAGTTCCCAGTTCTATTTGCACTCATAGCTTGATTTAATTTCCCCCCCCTTTTGTTAGTGATGGGAAGAAGTCAAGCTAAAACCTCATAAAAAACCTAAAGAAACCATTGGAGGGCAATGGAGAGGAACTAGATGAGACATTTGGGTTTCATTCATGATTTATAGTTAGGTTGTTTTATGTCCCCAGTCATGATCAGCTGTTGATTAACTCTATAATGGCTTGAACTTATAAGAGCACCAATAACTATTTTGCTCTCTAATTTAATCTCATACAGCCCAGTCTAGAAGCTAGCTCAATATTGTAGTTGGAAAGAAGCAATAAAAGTGTCAAATTGGATTTGAATTGATATAGCTAATTAATCTTTAATGGGATTAATGGTGTGTGTCTTTGCAGGATAGCTGATCCAGACCAGCCAGTGCTATGGTTAGACCAAATACCAGCTCAAAGCCTTAGTAGAGGTTTTAATAATCACATCAATCTTATCAGGTATGATGTTTCAGTAAAATCTTGTTTGCTTCAGAGGTTGTGGCAGAATCATGTATTCTCTTTTATGAACTTAATTCACAATATAAACATTAGGATTTTTAAACTGGCCCGACATGTTTTTCTTTTACTATATTTTATTATTTAATATATTGTAAAACAAAATATAGCCCCTTCCTTTCTCCAGACGATCAAGAGGTACAGTATGTTATTCTGGAGTCAAATAAATAATCCTCATATATTTCGAAAGTGCTTTCTACTCCCAAATGAGGTTGTAATTTTTCCTATATCGAAACCTAGAGTAGCTCCTAAAATAGTAATAGTATCTCTATAGAATAATGCCTCAACAGGTCCTCGCCATGCTAAGAATAATTTCATCATTGTATGTCCCCACCTCTCTTCCAAAATGAAACGAGTCCACGCTGGAGAATCCCCAGAGAAGTGCAGGCAGGAAAGTATAGGCTACACTATGGTCAATTACAGGTGTTTGGACTGAGGTTTATATATTCATAGGCTGGCAAACTTTTCCTAGAATGAGAAGTATTTGCTTTCACTTGCTTTGCTTATTTGGGGGAGTAGTTTGAAGGAGAACAGAAAATTTTTGCATCTTGTAAGTATAATCCATCTAGTACAAACAAAACTATCTGACATCCCATGACTGTGTGGAATTATTGCTTATGGGTGGTCTAAACTAATTTTATTTATCGGGTATAATACAATGCTTCTATCTGGTTTAATCTGGTTTTATGATGTTTCAGAAAGATACCTTTTCAGTTGCCTGCACTGAGTGGCTATGATGTTCAGCCATTCTGATGCTGATTACCTTTCATCTTTGATTCTGAGTGGAGTGGCGCTATCTTTCAATGGAGGGAGGGAAGGAGATCACTCGTGGTTTGGCCATGAGTTATAGAGTATACGGACAGAAGGATTTTGCTCCCTGAATGTTTGCTGTTTTTACTGCTGCGATTATTTTGTACAATATTTTAATTTATAAAACTGTCCAGAGTCACCTGGAATGGAGTAGAATCATTCTGGAAATAAATAAATCCCTTGAGAGGGGGTTTTTTTGGGGGGAGGGGTAATCTTTCAGTTACCTGTAAAGCATCTTGGTTGAACTCCAAATTGTGATCTGTCAACCAAAGGATTAGGGTTAGAGGTTAGGGTTAGAGTTTATTAGGATTGGTTCTTTCAAGATAACTTGAAAACTGTTCAGAGATTAAATAGTTTAATGTTGTTCACACTGTTTAGAATTCAAACACTACATTATTAAAATATATTACCTAGGAGTAAAGCTCATTGCAAAAAAGACTTCTCTTATAAATTAAATACTGTTAATGATTATGTATAACTTGCGTTTATATTACAAATTTAATATACATGAAGAATAAACTTTCATTCATTTTATGAATTTGATAATTTATAATATAATTGTCATAATTTTCTCCTCTTACCATATTACTGTACACCCTTGATTCATATGTGATGATGATTAAGAATAAAGTAAAAGTGAGTTTTGTAATATGTACTATATTTTATTGTTCATATACTCTAGATTTTATAGCAAGCACCATAGGTATTGGGGGGAAAGCCTCTTGAGAGCATAGTTTATAACGACAGTGTTATATATAAAAATTGTGGATATCTTTTAATTATTCATGTATGAATGATTATCTCTTTAGTCTCTCTTTAATATCCATTTTTAAAAAAAAAATTTGTATCTACAGGGGCCAGGTTATTAACATGAGATACACAGACTATTTTGACAAGATACTTCATTTTATCAAAGACAGGATCCTTGTTTATCATAGGTACACATTTCTTTCTTGTAATTTTATAGTAATTCTTGTTATTTATAAAACATTTCAAGATGAGATGCCCTATATATGTATATATGAATACATGTATTCTGACTGTATGTTTATAATCTGAATAAAGTGAGATAAGTATGATGAAAAAAAAAGCAAACTGTTAGAGAGCAAAGACTTAGTTGCAAGAGCACATATGCAAATATCAGGACTCAGTGAATTTTAGACAATGGGGTAGAAAGAGAGATATAAAAGAACAGGGCAGAAAATGAAAAAAATATTCTGAGATTAGCCAAAAAGAAAAGACCACCTAAATAAAGTATATGGAAAAATATGGAGAAAAATTAATGAATGCAAGATCTCTGTGTTAAAAGTGTAAAAAACTGCTTTAGTAATAAAAATCAGATAATCTGAGAACTATTTTATGACGTATCCTGTTTCCATGCTTAATTAATATAATCTAATGATGAAATATTTAACTGAAATTGTGCTAAAATCTGTTTTAACTAAAATTGTGCTAAAATCTATTTTAGTGCTAATAACCATAAAGAACTATTGGAAGTTCGTGAAGCATTGGAGCAGGTACATAAGGTAGAAGATCTTCTTCCAATTATGAAGGTATTTTTTCTCTTTAGCCTGTTTTTATTAATATTAGAAATTAGGTCAAACATAATAGTGTAGAAATTAAAAATTACCCATAATGTTATAATTAAATTATCATATTATCTCATATTGGCTGTGTTTTGCATTTGGTTTGTATTATAACAGCCGAGGAAAAGAAGATGCATGAATCTCATCTTCCTACAAAATACTGTAATATAAAATGCCAGATTCTGAGGCAAGATTTTGCACATCATGTTATGGAGAGTTGTGTTGCCAAATATATCTAGGATTATATTGAAAATAAAATTAGAAGCACATAGATATTATTGTCAAGCCATTCTTTTCCTCTAGAATTTATTTAAATTGGATGTCAATATTCTTAGCACCATGACTTAATATTTGTAATCTGTTTTTAACTTGTATATCATTAATGTTATCTCCTTTGACTGGTATTTTTTGGCTTTATATCAGTGTTTCTCAACCTCAGCAACTTCAGATGTAATATACAGTAGTTATCACATTTTTTATTTACTATAAAGTGCAACTTTCAGACGTGTGGACTTCAACTCCCTGGCTGGCTAGGAAATTCTGGGAGTTGAAGTCCACACATCTGAAAGTTGTGCTTTATAGTAATAAGAACTGTGATAACTACTATATATTACAAATAATTGTTTAACTGATCCATCGTGATTTTTTTATTTAAAAAAATTAAGACATTTTCTTGGAAGAAAGAAATCACTTCCACAACTTATGTTATGTGGGAACAGTCAGATAGGAGAAGAACTGCAAATAAATTTGATGAATAAATAAATATATACGTCTGTACCTAAACGACCACTCTTCCCACAACCATTTGAACTGACAACATAATACATACATATGATGGAAGGGCCAGAAAGTGGGGTTGAAATCCAAACTGAATGGGATCCTTTATTTTCTTTTCCCTTTACTTCTTCTTGTTAGGTAGCAATTTCTCTTGCTAGAAGTCACTTGTAGGGTGTCTTTAAACGAGGTTTACAGCCATTAATTGTATCTTATCTCGGATGATTCTGGTCCTAACGTAGGAAAGTCTCTGCTCTTTTAAATAGCTCTGGAATAGGAAGTGAAAATCTTCTAGCACTGAGAGGATGCATCAGCTAGAGAAATAAATCCTGTCCTTTTGGGATTGTTGTAATTTACATTTTGTAAATTGTGTAAGAACATTTCAGCCTGTTTTGAACATTTCTTTTGGCATTTTTAAAGCAGCTTAATAGTAAAACAAGAGATGGTTTTACCATCCACACCAAAGTCCCAAGCCTCAAAAATCCAGGAAAGGAATATGATGGATTTACTATTACTTTAACAGGAGACAGGTAATTTATGTCTTTCTTTTATGTTATGATATACTGATCTTTATTATAATTAGCATGTCAGTCAATGAAAGCCTGGGTTTCAGAGACTAGAGAGGTTTCAAAGATCCTAAAATAACTTATCATTTGTCTGTGAAGCTGGATTTTTTGAACTTTAATTACTTTACAGTCAGGTAAATTACCTTTTTATTCAAGTCTGACATTGTCAGGCCACTGTCCATTCATCTTCTCGTTTATGCATGAGAATTGTGTGGACTAGATATTATCTACAGTTGTTTTTAATGTTCCTATTAACAAATGGATCTGAACCTATAAAAGACTCTTTGTATTATTTCGTACATGTTCATTGGTATATAGTAGGGTAGATTGCTGATAGAAAATGGTTATAAGTTAGCATTTAAATAAGACACTAGCTGTAAACTGAGGGCATATACCAGTCTAGTATCTGATGGCCTAGAGACATTGGCATTTGAACATAGATCTTTTTAACATTTATATTTTATTGTGTTTTACTAATCTAGGTGAAGTGTTAATATGTACTGCTAGTCCATGTATGATATGCCATATGCTCAATAAATAAATAAGACACTAAATCTTTCTTCAAAGATTTGTTCACAATCCTATACAAAGTATGTGATTAATGCATTTCCACTTGTTTCATTTCTTTTCTGACACAACCAGAAAGAATAAGTTAGAATTTTGTTTTGTTCTGGCAAATTTCTGGTTTGTAACCCTCCTTGAGAGAGATGGGCGGTTTAGAAATATGATATATAAATAAACAAATAAATTAACAAATACCGGTAGTTCTGTTTAAAATGAATGCTAGATTTATTTCTTTACTATTCACTTGCTAATTTTCTCTTACTTGCCTTTCTTTTTTCTTTAAGTGTATTGCTTTTACTTTATTTTTTGAAATATAAAAAATAAAATAGATGATGCAGACTTTGCTTTTGCAAAGTAAATTACTTTATAGTAATTTATACAGTAATATACCATAGTAAATTTATAGAGTAAATTATCGAAGCTGTTTTTTTAACACGTTTCTAAAATCTGGAACTGTTCTTTGATTTTATTAAAGAAGAACATAAAACTTGAGCTTTGTATAAAAGCTCATGGACATGATAATAAATCATAGGATAGCCTGACAAGCAAAAGCTCTGATGTTCTGTTTTCCCTTCTGGAGTACACTCATCGCAAATCATGGCTATGTCAATCCATAAAACTTTGCTACTATCCTTTTTTTTTGTCTCTATGTTGCAAGGTTTGGGGATAATTATTTAAAGGTATTTTTGGACAGTAAAAAGAATTCTGCAAAAGTCATGTATTGTTGTTGTTTTAGTAATTTTGACATAGCTATGTGTATTTAAACATGTTTGAAGTCATTTCTTTTTTTAAAGCACTCTCTTTTTCACATACCTTGCAGGATTGGGAACCTTTTGTTTTCAGTTGAGACACAGACAACAGAAGCAAGAACACAACTTTATCATACAGAAATAGATGCTCTTTATAAAGATTTAACTATGAAAGGAAAAATACATCTTTTGTCTGCAGAATCTAGAGTAATGTCTTTTTAATTATTTTTTTAAAAAAACCTAATATACAAGAAATGTTCAAGTAGATTTGATAGACAATCTTTGAGGACTTGGGGCTTCAGTTCAGTTTTCCATTGTTTCAAAGACTAGGGCAGTGATGGCGAACCTTTTAGAGACCGAGTGCCCAAAAACTGGCCCAAAAATTTCCAACCTCCAATTCCCTTCCTTAAACATCTTTAAAAATGGACCCCAAATGGACCATAGATTGTTAGCCAGATTGGGATTTGTGGTTCTAAACCTATTCTCATCCTCACCTTTAATTGGGGGGGGGGAATATTGTGTTTCTGATATTAGCAAGATGGGCGGAATATAAATTTAATAAAATAATTAAATTTTATTTTGTTTTATTTAGGAGACAGATGTCATATGCAATCTAATCTTGTCTGTTTTATACTACTTCTGTAACTTAATGCCTCTTTCCAGAGGTTCCAGGTTAGTAACTATCTTCTTGTACAACATTTAAAGCAAGTTTATCTTATTAATAACATAAGTAATTATGGTGTTATATTATTCTCTGTTTGCCCGTTCAAGTTTTAAATATGTGCAAATGTTGGTATTTTGCTTATTTCATTTCAATTCTCATTCTGTACCCTAGGTTATAAAAATAAATAATATATAAAAGAAATAGATTTCTAATATTTTGAAAGATTATTGAGGTAGGCTGTAGTCTTGTAATTGGATATATGTTTACTTTAAGTTTACATAACTGTTTTACATAACTTTAAGAGCCTGATGAGTGGCAAACATGTGATAATTCAAAGAAAACAGTAATGTAAAAGAACCCCTCCAACTCCTTAAATAATTAATTTCCTTGTATTTGTGCACTGCTTGTTCATTAAGACTTGAATTAATGATGGTTATTCTCTCAAATTCTGACAATTTGCAATTAATGGAATTTGTAAGTGAGAGTCTGTCAGCTAGAAAATTAATTGTAGAAGAAATGGCTGTGTCTCCTTTTGTTCTATCTGTTGAGTATTACAGAGAGAAAGCAGCTTGTTTTTAGTCAATTGTTTCTTGTTATCTTTCTTATTTGTAAGAAGCTGTAGAATAAATATGTGATGCTGGGAAACCTGCTATTTTTTCTGCATTGCCAGCTTGCTGGATTTCCATGCTATAACTAAAAACATTGTTGTTGCTGTTGTTGTTTTAGTATAGTGGGTTATTCAATCATCATGGGAGCACTGATGGCAAGTGGACAGGAAGTGTCAGGAAAAATTCCTAAAGGAAAGGTACGCTCTGTATAAGTTATGTTAAATTTAGACAAGAATGACTCTTGGCCATATATGTATTGTTTCTGTATCTTACTCCTGTGTCCAAAATGCTCCTCAACAGATCCTGAATCCTATCTGAGGATACCTTTAATATTGCAAAGGTTGCCTCTTTGGTGCTGTATTAGGAATAGTCCTAAGAAAAATGGAAGGAGGTGTAACAAAATCATTAAATGAAACCATAGTTTAATACCTGTGGGGTAGTAAATGGAATTTACTTTCAAGGAAGCATTTTCTCCTTGGGGCTTGATCCTGATCCATTTATATTTGCAACCTTTCACTATCACACTCTGCTTCTACTTCTATATCACTCAGCTTTCGGCAGAAGTAACAATGTGTGAACTTATTCTACCTCCTTAATTTTTTCTTTAAAAGAGCATTGAAAGCTATCAAAAGGTAATGCAGTTGTATATATTTTTTGTTATACGGGATATTGTCTACAGTATGGTGTTTCTAATATATAGGACTGAGTTATATGATAAATAATCTTTCCAATGGGCCTTTTAACAGAAGTTATATAAGTAGACCAACTTAAAATGTAAATGCATTTAAATACATTTCAATTCTATTTATAATCGTGGATTTTAAATTTAAATTTAAAATATATTTTCTTCTGAATTGTGTTGTGCAGCTGTAGATTTTCAATGTTGCATTGCAATTGCTAAAATGGCAACCTCTGTGAGATAAACAGGTAAAAAATGTCCAGTGCTACTCCACCAATCTTCCAAATCAAATGACTATGCCTTTTGGATAACTGAATGTGTGGGTAGGTTCTGGCATAACTGGAAATTATTTTAAAATATTTCTATCTTTAAACTCATTTTTAATGTTTCCCAGTTGGTGGACTTTGAAGCCATGATTGCATCTAGTTCAGAAGCCTTCAGTAAAGTAGCAAAAGACTGGCTGAATTTGAAAAGGTAAAAATACTAATATTGATTTATAGTATACATGAGTGATTATAATTATCAATCATCATTTTGTTTCACCTACGTCAGACCATACAAGGGTCCAGCTTAACTTTCTGCATGTATATGAATGTCATGATAAACATAATTGTTAAAATAATCACATTTCATAACAGTAGTTCTTAATATAATTAAGGTAGTTCAGTACTGAATATAAATCAAACTATGGACTGACTTAAGTTGAATTGGGATATACAGAATTCTGTTATACTGTATATGTGAAATACACACATACATATACCCACACCTATGCACACACATACATACGTGACAGTATTAATAGAAAAATTTAATCAATCAGATTTATGATTTTTGAGATAAGAACCATTTTGGCTAGAATTCACTGTTACTTTATTAATTCTAATAACTAAAACTTAAATAGTCCCTTAAACAGAACAGGCATTGAAGTCTAGGCTGATATCTAAATATTAAACAAGTATTTTTAAAATGTAATACAATGTAAACTATTAATTTTATTTCAAATAGGAATATGAACTGAGCTTCTATTAATCTTGGCAATTTTGCATTTTCAGCATTTCACCTTCCTACAAGAGTCTTCCACTAGTATCAGAATCATTTCCGACTTTACGAACTATGATGGAAGTATTAAGTGCAGATTCATCACATTGCCTTAAAAGGCTTTAGTTGCTATGTAACATCTCAATAAAAAACACTGACTTCCTCTTTTGTATGGTTTTTATTTTTCTGATATGAGCATGAAATGATCTGATACTATTTTTATGGAAACCAAAGATTTATATCTTTATAAATGCAGTAGAAAATGGAAGTCTTTTCAGTAATTGGAACTATTGGAGAGAAGATTATGATTTTATTTATTCTATATATAACTCTGGATGTACTTAAAAAGATATTCTGTGGAATTAGGTGTTCTTAAGCCCATTTAAATCAATATGAACCAAATTGTATAAGATCATGTTCTGTTCCATTAGGGCTTCTGAATATTGATGGATATAAGATACAAATAATTGAAATAATTGCAGATACTTGCTTTCAGAAAATGTTGATTGATTATGAGTATTGCTACTCTGAGTCAATCCATTACAGGAAATGTGCCATTCTAAAAATATAATATCCGCTCTTTTCGTTTGGCATCAATATGATAAAAGATAGTTATGAAAATATGTGAAGTATATACAGGTATTCCTTGTTTAGCAGTAGTTGAGACTGGCAATTCTGTGGCTAAGCAAAGAGGTTGCTAAGTGGGAGATCACCTAACCATGTCTGTGCTTTCTAGCTCCAAAATGACAACCTTCAGCTTTTGTTTGCCTCCTAACCACTCCCTGGCTCTTTGGAATGCTCCCCTTGGCGCTGGGCTAAATAACAAGAAGGAAATTAATGTTTCCATTTACATTCATTGGAGAGGAAGGAATTACAAGAGAAGCAGGCACAGTGGGGAATACACATCAAAAGCAATGCACTGGCACTGGCAGCCACCAGTGCTATGCAAACAGCCAAGTGTATTTCCCATTGTGTGCGTGCTTATTTTCCTGTAATCCTTTCCTCTCCAATCTGCTCTGTGAGGGGCAGGGAAAACAGGTGGGCCCAGGAGAAATTACCTATAGAAACAGTTTAAGGGTTGTTTTTTTCTTACTCCCCTCACAGAGCAGAGAGATTGGAAAAGAAGAGACCCATAACGAAAGGATATATTTTTCCTGTAAGGTGATAACAGTTAATCAGAACTGGAGTCTATAATAGAGTATTGCTATAAATCCCTGATAATGATTGCATCCCTGATTGCTTCTCAAGACTGTGCTGCTGATTTTTGATAACAAGACTTTTTCATTTTGCATTTGGAGAAAGATCAGGGGAAAGTCTCATTGTAATTTACAGAACTGTTATTAATTTGATTTCCATGGCCATCCATTTCATCTAAGCAGCTCTTGGGGGGGGGGAATAAAAAAAAATCCAACTTTAAAAAGTTAAAAACCAATATACAAACATATAAAAACTGTCCATAATCATTGTTTTTTTTTCAAATCAAATGGAAAATCACCCCAGCAGCAGAATTCATTATCAGCTCATTATAGCTATTGTAAAAGAGTTCACCACCATTGCTGGATGCCCAGGCAAATATGAAGTCTGGAGCAATGATGTTCCACAGGACAGATGCCAAGGCAAGAAAAGCCCTCTTCCTCCAGACGACACTACACTTTAATACAGGGGTCTTCAAACTTGGCCCTTTTATGACTCGTGGACTTCAACTCCCAGAATTCCTGAGCCAGGATGGCTGGCTCAGGAATTCTGGGAGTTGAAGTCCACGAGTCATAAAAGGGCCAAGTTTGAAGACCCCTGCTTTAATTATCGGTGCTGAGCTCAGATGTCAAATCCAAAATACTCCTTGCTCCACTACATCGCTAAGCAACATTTCCTCAACGTTTCCTATTCCGAGAGAATAGATTTTTTTCCCCCTCTTACTCTTAAGGCAGTGTTTCTCAACCTTGACAATTTTAAGGCATGTGGACTTCAATTCCCAGAATTCCACAGCCAGCAATGCTGGCTGTGGAATTCTGGGAGTTGAAGTCCACATGCCTTAAAATTGTCAAGGTTGAGAAACACTGCTCTTAAGGCAACAGCCCGTTGGTGAACCAGTCCATCTGGAAACATAATTAAAGTACTTGCTGGGAGTTCACTTGCTGTGATTCAGATTTGAGTAAGCGCGTTTAGAACGCTTCTCATCCGGATTAAATGGGTCCTCAAATGAGTAGGCTGCCGCGACGACAACTAGGTTGATGAATTACACCAGGAAAGGTGTAATTCCTTTCTGAACGCAAATCCGGCGGCAACAAAGAAGGGAAAAGGCAAGGAGGCCCTTCGACAGCAACGCCTCGAACTTCGCCGCCCGCTCCAACCTGGAGCAAGCGCTGCGCTGGCGGGCCGAGAGGAGGAGCGAGGCGCAAGACAGAGGAAGCCGCGGAGGCGGGGCTAAACGCAGCAGGAGGAGGAGCCAAAAGGTTGGCGGAGACGAAGAGCGGAGCCAAACGGGCCGAGCGGAGGGCGCGGCGGAAGACACGGTCGGCTCTGCGCCTTTCGCCGTGCCCGAGTCCCCGAGCGCCGGGGCGCGTGAAAGCAGGCGCAGGTCGGCGATGGCGTCCATGGCGGCGGCGATAGCAGCCTCCCGCACGGCGGTCCTGAATGGGAACCGGCCGCTGGACGAGCGGGAGCGGAAGCGCTTCAGCTACTTCTCTTCGCTCAACCCCATGGCTCGCAAAATCATGGCGGAGAAGGAGCGCATCCGCGAACGCTACGGGCCAGACTGGGAGCGGCTGCCGCCCCGCCAGCAAGACGAGATTATTGACAAAAGCCTAGTGCAGCCCCAAGTCCAGGCCCGGTACGCGGCTCACCGAGGGGCAGCCCGAGACAGCCCGCCCCCGGTCTGCTACCCGAATCTGCGCCTCAATACCGGCCAGAAGGTAGTGCACTTCGGAGACGAGGTAAGCTCTCGTGCGCCGGTCAGTGGCCCTCTGCACATGCACAGAGGGCGAGCAGGGTATTTTTACTTGCGTTTTGAAGCTGTCGGGAGGCACCTGTAGCATTGAGGTGGGAGAGGTGGCGTCAAAGAAAAACAGATAAGGCACGGAGAAAGGACTTGGAGCACCCAAGATTTTAAAAAAGGACTAAAAGTGTCTGGCAGGGAGGCATGTGTAGAGGGCCGTTTTCCTTTGACCTTTTTTAGGCATTACCTGGCTTCTATAGTAAAGTTAATTGGGCCGAAGTCGGTATATCAGTTAATCAGAACAAAGCTGGAAGGGATCTTGGAGGTCTTCTAGTAGTAGACAATATGCATGGTTCTTGCTGGATTGGAGAGTTCCAGTCTTCCTCTGACCCGATCCAAACAAGTGCAGATGGCTATATTATTTTTAATCGTGGTCACCAATCAGAATTGCAAACAAAAACCCATTAAAAGATGGCCTAATTTTACAGGCAGTGTAGCAAAATTCAGCTACATTCAAAGAGACTGAATCATAATGGTCTGATAGCAATTGTAAGTAAAAATAGTCAGAATTTCCTGGGGGTTTTACCAGGTAAGGAGTTATAAGATGGGTCCTTGAGTCCTTATAAAGAGGGCAGTGCAGCAGGATATGAGCTATATAGTTTCAGCAGCCCCTTGTCCATAAGGGCACAGTCTCAGGTCATAGGGGAGAGGGTTTTCTTCCAAACTCAAATGCGTACGTTGACATCAGTCACTCTATGTTCAGTGGGATTTATTCAGATGGAAGAACACACCACAAGTGTTATGCTATCGAAACGTTCCAGAGTCTGTAGAATACAATTGTTTACTTTCTGCCTCTGCAAGAATTAAAGTTCCTTTAGATTTCCAAGAATGATTAAATACAAAAGAAACAGCCTCTTCAGTTTGTAACTGTTTACTCCCATTCCTATTCATTTTGGTTTTAGTGATGAATCTTACTATTTATCACAGCCTTTCATTTTATTGTGCATCCCAGTGATAGTTGTCAACTGCTAGTGTAAAATACCTTATTTTACTGTGAAAACAGGAATGTGTGAAATCATAACAAAAACATTGGCAACAGTCAGGATGCTCAGCGTAATTTATATTGGCTGCACTGTCTTTCCAAACTAGGTTTCTGTGTAGAGCTGCCATTTCTTCTGGAGAAAAAAGAAAAAAGGCTAGTTTGTATGTCTGAATAAAAGCTTAATTTAGGGATGATAAACTGGAGCAGATATTCAACATCCTTAGAGTTTGCTTGCTTCTTATTTTAGTGGAACAGAAGAAAAACAAAATGTTGATTGCCAATCTCCTGGCTCGCAAAAGGTGGGACTGTCTAATAAATTCCATTCACACTAATTCCAGTTTAGGCAGTTGAGTTCTATCTCTCTGCATCTGGCTAGATTACATTCCAGGCATAGATACAACAGAAATCCCTGCTTGGTGCAATTGCTATGGCTGTCAAAGTGGCGTTTTAAAATCTTTAATGTGGGTGCATATTTGCATGCCTTATTGATATCATTACAATGTATGAATCAGATTTGCTGTGTTGTGATTTTGCACGTTTAACCCTGAATAATGTGTTGGAAAGCCAGGTATAATGTAGTTTTTCTCAGCCTGATTAAGGAAGGGTGGCATATGGTTCATGCCCTGCACTCCTATAGTGTGGAAATTAAAGATTTGGTAAGCTTTCACTGGGTGAAAGCCACTCTCTCTTAGCCAAGTTTATCTTAAAGGATTGTTATTGCCAAAATAAAATTAAAGGAGAATCTCTTGGAAATTGCCTTGAACTCTACAAAAAAGGTAGGATAGATATAATAATCATATAGGGACATATTGATATAATTATGTTTAGATAACAAATATAAACTAAGAGCAAGTATAAGTGGTGGCTGCTAAGTAAAAAAATACAATTGTGTTATTTTCTGCTGACAGGCTTAATGTTTTGATTATCTTTCATTTGATACAGCTTTTTTGTGTTTCTATTTGTGTGCATTTATAAATCTATAGGTTTGTCAACTAGTATGTACCTTTTGGCATCTATTTTTTACATTCAGCAGGCTCATTTCTTCATCTAACTTTTAAAAGAGAAATGACTCTCAAGTATTATTTTTAAGAATGCTTCTAGGTTCCAGATAGGTTCCATAAATAATGTTAGAACATAAAAGTGTTTGCCCACCTTCTAAAAAAGACAGAAGTATACGCTAGTAAGGAGTATTCTGAACATAAAGGATCGAAGTAATGAAAAAGAGCAGTTTTGCCAGTTCTAGTAAATGGGTGTTTTGCAACTACCGGTAGTTCTATCTAGCCTTCCAACTACTGTACTGTAAATTCTACCCAGAAGACCAGCCAAGACATACTCTGAAAATTCTAAATCTGGCCACTGATCCAAATAGCTGTGGAATTTAAACATTGCAGAGTTTGGTAAGCATCAAAATGCCTCAGGGATCCTCAATGTTTTTGCAATAATAGGCCAGAGGGTTTGTCCAGAATAACTATATTTCGAGACATTAGGTACTTCAGATCTTAATTCAAGATAACTTGGGGGAGGGGTCTACTTTGCATTTCAAAACCTCCTCTTCCAATTTGGTAATACTGGCTAGGAGTTCTGAGAATTCTAGACCATAAACATCTGGAAGGCACTAGATTTGGGGAAGGTTCTTCTATCTAGTGAATTCTGCCCTTCCCTAAATGCCCATTTAAAAGAGTATAGTAATAGCTAAGAGCCCTATGGATATTTTTGTTACACTGGTCAAGGTCTACTTATAATTTTTCAGGGGTAGAAAACCAAAAAGGATTGTACAATTAAAAATAATTGTAAAGAACGAAAGGCAGTACTTAACTTAGCCTGCAAATTCATTCACAGGAATAAACGTCATAAAAAGGGCCTGCAAACAGCTAATTTGTGAACAGCAGGCGGTAGGAAGTTACAGCTAAAATTAGTATTTAGGAATTGTTTATGTTTGACTACAGGAAACTGACTAACTTTTTTGTGCTTCTCTCTACAAAAATATATGAATATTTCAGGTCTGAGTATTTTTAAATCACCTTCTAAAAATGTAAGTCAGATTTTCCACTGTCCCTACTGAACTTAGGAAAACCAAGGGTGTAGAAAATAAATTGCAGTGTTCAGAAATGGAAGTTTTTAAAATTATTCCCGGTTTTTTTATATTTGATACTTGTGCCAAAGACTTTGGAAAAAGTAACAACTCTTAATAAATGATCTCAATATGCTCACCTAAAATACATGGGCCTAGCTGTTGAGATGTAATAAGAGCAGTATGTTTATTTTGATCATTTAGGATTCCCCTGTGGTATCTAGAGGAGCATCTTAGGGCTCATAGGATATATCAGTACTAGACTTTTGGATAATATCAGGATGGGAGTATATATTTTCTGCATATTGCACAATACTGGTGTTCAGTATTCATAATTCTAAAAGGCAACCATTGTTTAATCTTGGTTTCTCCGTTCATGTAAAAATTAATCTTTTGAAGTCCTCATTTAGTAACCATAGCTAGGATTGCAACTGAAGTGGTTACAACTATGCTTATGATCTTACTTCAGCTTTGCTTTGCTCCACAGACCTGCAAAGGTTGTAAATACAAGCATTGATCATAAAATTACTTCTTCATCACCATCATCATTGCATATAGTCACTAAATGAGGTGGTCACTAAATGAGAACTACCTGTAAATAATATGAAATTAAAAAAAGATGGGCAGAGGGGGCACAGGAAGAGCAGGGGGAGGTGGGGGTCAGCTAATTAGTCCAGTAGCCACCTGTAGTGATGTACTTCCCAGGCCAACTGGCAGGGCCAGGTCTTCAGGCCCTTCTGGAAGGATAGGAGGGTGGGGGCAAAACTGGTAAGATATTCCAGGAAATTCCAGAGAGCCGGCACTAAAGCAGAGAAGGCTCTTCTTCTCTTTTCCTGAGTAAATACATTCTTCGATGTTTTTAAATTTGTGTTTAGTTGGACTAAGTAAATTAAATTATGAAAAAGTAGAGTTGAAATGAATTTTTTTGGGAAACATTGAGCCTAGACGAGGAAACTTGATTATGTGATAGCTTTAACNGCTTTAACTTATGCAAGATCCTTTAGCTTCTGAAAGGTCCAGTAACCAGGGCTGAGATGTTTCCTATGGTTAAAATCTATAATAGTATCAAAACTTCTCATTTAGGTTTGGAAGTAGGAGTTTTAATTGAAGTGGATCAATGAAAGTGCAGTCAGGGAATGATAACTAAATTTGCCTGCCTAATGTCACAATTGAAGTCTCTGTATGTGCAATTCGGGAAACTATAGGAACTCAGCACAGGTGATGATAGACAATTATTTTGTCAAACAATTCGATTAATCTGAGAAAACAGACAAGTGCTAGACTCCATTGGCATTTCTATTGTTTCCTGGGGGGAAGACATTTGCAGAGGACAACTGTTGTGCTCCTTTAGATTTTTCATGCCTTGGAGAATCCTATTCAGTTAGAGTTTGGATTTTGTAGAAAATAAAGAAAACGACCTTAACAAAAATACACAGGACCTGTTATCTATGCAAAAGGGACTAATAATAAGATAACATTTGGAAGCAGCTCTGACAGACACCTTCTTAATTTGCTGGAGTATAAGGAGGAGAAGGGTACAGCACAATTAGACATGTAAAATTCTGTTATTAACAGCCAACTTCAATAGAAGTTGTTTTACGTTTCCAATGGAGTTGATTTCCCTGTCTGGTCTATCTAGTGGAGCTGACAGATTTGTGCAGGGAAGCTACGTCAGTCCAGCAAACTCAGTGCTTTAAAGATTGCCTTTCAAGGCATGAAGGGGAAGCTGCAGGAACATAGCTTAGAGGTGGGAAAAGGCTCTGTGAGTCTATTGAGCATGTATCTCTTTTCTTTCTCTTCCTCGTCATTTTTCATATTTTACTAGTATTATTAAAATGCCACATAGAAAACTTAAGTGCTGCTGCTAAAAGGCTTTCTTAGTGATCACAGAAGACTCTTTTGTGTTTTGGCTGACAGAGAAATTATTATTATCCTGTGGTGGATGGTCTGCACTTGGTATATGTCATTTGCTATCAATAAAGATACTAGTGTCTCCTCTGCTGTCTTTCTGTTCGAATGCCCTTATTGTAACACGCTGCCTGGGTGACTTGTAGCTAGATGCAGACTTTTTTGTGCTTGATGCTTTACTACTGCTGCTGCTGAAATCAGCATGAGACTGTCCTTTGGCTTAAGCCGGGATGGCCTTTTTGTCATGGATGTGCAGAAGCTGGAAGAAATGTTCCTGTTCCTGCCCAAATGAAAACCTAATTCCTGCTTTAGGGGAACACTCCCTATCCTTTTGTGTCATGTTGTTTCCCTGAGGGATTTGTTCTAAGTTGTCTTAATATGACTCAAAGACATTAACTGTTTCCCTCTTCTTAGTTTAGCTCCTTGCCTTGTTAGATCTCAGCCATTTTCCAGTAAATAAAAGCAGCAAGACCACTTCTGCATGACAGCCAGACACATCAGAATCAAGGGATCTTTCCTAAGGTTATCATGCATGTGCCAAGCATAACAGACTGGGGACTTTGACATTCCTCGGTGGCTTGGCCAATGCCGGAGCAATTCATTTTTTTTTACGTCCAAGAATAGTGTAAGATAAGGGCTTGAGAAATAGGGCTTTATGATTAAACTCGCCAAGCCAGTAAAGAATATATTTTGATAGATCTCTTCTGGAAAGATTTTTTTTTAAAAGTCTTGTCATTGTGTGACAACTGTGTTTGAGCTTAGCTCAGTGCAGTGAACTGAAACTCGCCTTTTTATTTTTCAACTTTAGAAACTGTAATAAGGGAACTTTAATATGGGTATCACAAATAAATACAAATCAGCATACATAATACACAGATACCAGGTAGAATATAGATCAAATCTGTACAGGGAGCAAAAAAAAGTAAAGTTTTCTGGGGAAAGAACGTTACTGAGTGCAAAGTTGTTGCTGTTGCTATTTGAGATTTATAGAGATTTTTAGAATAATTAGAGAAAATGGGCATAGCCATATTCAATCAAGATTGTCCCCTGAAATGGTTGCTCTTTTTCAAACTCAACATTTTTAGCTATTAGTTTATTTAATTAAATTAATTCCTCTCCAAAACAATCAAATGCAAAACATTCAGGAGAAAGAAAGAAGAAGGAAGGAAGGAAGGAAGGAAGGAAGGAAGGAAGGAAGGAAGGAAGGAAGGAAGGAAGGAAGGCCAAATCAAGGCATTTGACAGTGTTTCTCCATTGGAGAAGAGGATGAAACCAAAATATAAAGCACAGTTTTTGAATCAGGCTGTTTTTGAGAAAAGAATTCCAACACAATCAAACTTTTGTTTAAAAAACTCAGTCAGGAACTGAAACTAGAATAAGAGAACTTTTATTTTGATAAAAGAAGATATATCAGGTATGTCTGAAAAAAATAATAAGGCAAATATTAGACATTTTTCAGCTAATCAAGCTTGCAGCTTAGTTACTAAAAATACCTCTTGTATAAAATGATTGAGAAGGATTCGTGGATGTTAAACATTTCGGGCAGATGTTGAGGATCTTGGCAGATGAAGCAGTCTCTGCATCAGTGGTATTAGCAAAAAAAAGCCGGGGACAGTAACTTGATGGATTATCTAGTAATGAGACTTAATGATCTCTTCTTTGAATTAAATTTGTCTGAAGAGGACAAAGTTCAAACTTCCAGGCTTGCAAAGTTGAATAAACTATCTGCAAATGTAATTAAGTTTTTTAATGAACATACTAGAGAAAAAAATATTCAGGAAGCTCACAAGTTGAAGCAAATAAATTAAGGAGGAGACAGTGGTTTATCAAGTGATTACTCAGATTATTTTACAAAAGCAGTGCATTTAAGCCTCTTACAGAAGTGTTGATAAAGATGGGTATTTGATACAAATTAGGATTTTCATTTAACCTTATTTAAACTAAATAAAATAGGGATAATTTATACTACCCCAGGATATGAATAACACTTGAAGAAGGCCTTAGAGATTAAGCCAACCAGATGGCTACAAAATGAAAATCACTGATGAAAGAGGATTCCGACAGAAACAGGACCAAAAGAGGAAACAAGAATAAAATGAATTTGTTAGACTGAATAATTAAAGATCTAGTACAGTATTAATTGGATAGCTAAGAATGGGGGAATTGAGAGCTAAAATGCATGTAGACTCTGCTTTGAAAAGGTTAAATAATTAGTGAACAAGCGAGAGGGGAGAGTTAAGGTTAGATTTTGAATGGATCTTTTGAATCTGTAAATGGGGAATGATAGACTTTAGAATGTTGTCATGTAAGCAAAAAGTCCCACAGTTCTGAGGTTCAAAAAATGTGTGGATACTTTGTCATCAATCCCAATTATTTTTTTTGCCATGGATTTATTTTCTAAGACAAATATTCAATCATATTGACAAAATGGAGTTTAGTCCTCCCACTGACTTACTTTTTAGGAACATTTGTTTCTTCCTTCATCTCCTTGTATTTATGCCGTCTTACTTGGTGAAGAATTCCAGAGTGTGCATCATCTTATCATGGCATTTTGGCTGGTCTCAATAAACCTTCACTTGACTTCAGTTTTAAGGTATCCTGGATGATTCTGTTTCTTTTGCCCTGAGGAAATTACATACTTATTGGTGTGTTTTTGCTTTTATTTCAGGATATCACCTGGCAAGATGAACACTCTGCTCCTTTTTCTTGGGAAACCAAGGTAACTTTGTGAAATTGTTATATTTGCAATAATTGTCAGGTTTGTTTATTTCAGGATGCAGTAATAAACTTCTGCTTTGGGGCCCAGAGGTAATTATGATCTTGTGGAATATAGGTTTCAACAGCAGAAAAATTGTGATTTCTCAAGATAAATTTCAAACAATAATAATAATAATAATAATACATTTTACCCATTTATCATCTGAGGAACAAATAGAAGTACAAGTACCCCTTGTTTCATGCTCACAATGTGAAGTATATTTGTAGAGACACAATGTAACTGGACCAAAGTTACTAGTCTATTTTTTGGTTAAGCTAGTCTACTTGTTACAGACATGGGAAGCTAATGACTTTCCAGATGCTGCTGAATAATGCCCCACATCTTTCACCATTAGTCATGCTGGCTGAGACTGCTGGGAGTTGTGATTCAGCAGCACACTTAGCCAGGCAGGGCAATGATCTGATTTGGAATAGTTTTCTGTGTTTTTGAGGACCTGCACTCTGACTATTGGCTCTCAGTTTTGGCTTTGCAGGCATTTACTTGTTTATGGTCACCAAACATTTGCATCTAATAAGCTGGTATTAGAATTTCTGTTCTGTTCGTTCTGTTCTGACCTCTGCAAAAGTCTGAAAAAATATGTCAAACCATGCTTAGGAAGTAATCCAAAGCTGCAGTGGAACATTTTACACTGCCTTCCTTATTTTTCTAGGTGAAATTGTGTTTGCAAGACTGTTCCATGTATCACAGGGCTCTCTTAGAATTGACCGATGGAGCCCCAAATATTACTTTCATCTGTTTTATTCTCCCCCTCTTATCTTTGATAAATAGTATTATATATGCATGAGCTCTATGACTAGCGCTGTTCCATTTTCTTTCTTCTGCTTGACCTGCATTAATTTTGCTCGAGGAAAAGAGCACAACACATTTCAAATTCTAGAACTAAATTGTATATTACAAGCAGTCACATGCTTTCTGCTGAAGATTTGTTTCCTAGAATATTCTAAGTAATAATTTAGATAAAGAATAGAAACGAGGTAAGGAAGAGGCCACACGTCACTCTTTGCCCTTCATGTCTATTGCAACGTTTAGCCTTATTTGAGTACTTCAGAATCATACATAAAGTTCTGAAATGTGGGGGTTGGGAGATAAAGAATCATAATTACTTTTTAGCTTTATTTGTATTGTATTGTATTATTGTAATATTGTACCGTATTACTAAATCAGCGTCTTCAGAATAGGTCTGTCCAAAAATGCAGCAGTGTCTTCTGTAACCCCCCTGTATCTTCTGTGTATGCCTCCCCCACTTAAAGATTTTGCATTTTGAGAGGCAACACCTGAAAGTAGTTTTGATTCATCTTTAGCTGAACACGGATAGAAATATCCTTGCAATCACAGCATTCAACTGAATTAATTTCAGACTTTGTTACTCAATGCTGTAAGATGTTTAATAGTTTACCCCCTCCTACTTTTGGCTTTTTTGAGAAATTTGTGAAGAGGGTTTTCAGCATCTGTGGAGAGCCATAAGTTTGGAGAGCCATAATTTCCATATCTTAGCTTTAGAGCAGCGGTTCTCAACCTATGGGTCGCGACCCCATTTGGGGTCGATCGACCATTTCACGGGGGTCGCCAAGCAAGGCTGTCTGCCATTTTTTTTTGTCCGCCATTTTTTTCCCCTTTTCCGGAGGGTGCCTTACCTCCCTTGGGCTGGGCCAGCTGGTGGTCGGCCTGCTCCGTCTCTGCCGCTTGCCAGCTATGCCTCGGCCGGCGCAGGGGGCGGAACCACGCATGCGCGGCGCTCCCGGGCAGGGAAAGTCCTCGACTTACGACCAGTTGGGTAGTCCTTGACTTACGACCGGTTTAGTCCTCAACTTATGACCAGTTTAGTCCTCGACGTATGACCGGTTTAGTCCTCGACTTACGACCGGTTGGGAGTTGCGGCATTAAAAAGGTTGAGAACCACTGCTCTAGAGGCTCAAGTAAGTGGTGGGTGGCTCTTGTCCTAGCAAAGGAGGACAAGACCAGTGCATTCTCCCTTCTGTTGGCAGCAAGAGTTCAGTATGCCCAAATCTTTTTGCCTGGAGGACAAGACAAGCTTGTTCTTTGGAGCCCATCAATCCGATCATGATATTGGAAAGAATGAAGGCCATGGTAGTTTTCAGAGGTCTCCCTCTGATCTCTGGGTCATGACTTGCCCAGTCTTGTAACAGCCATATGGATGACCTTCCAGTTTATGATTTGGCAATTTGCCAATAACTATCACTTCTATGGTTGGGAGCATTATGAAGACAAGTTACACTGTTTATTTCTTTCTAAAGAGGAGCTGAAATAAGAGAATTGTTTATACTAGTTTCAGCATGACAGTTGTGTGATTCGATGTACTATTTACATTCGTATATGTATGGAAATCCTAGTTACGGATTTCAGCTTTGACTTCTTTTCTATCCATTGCCTTTGCCTTTGGAGAACTCTTGGACCAGTTCGGTGTATGGATCTAAATAAAAATAGTTTGAAGAGTTACGCCATCACCAGAAACATAGTTTATTAAATTCCTCAAGGGTCTTATCTTTGGTACAGAAAGAAATTCTTAATTGCTGGAGGAAGTGAGCTAGGTTCATTTAAGTTGCTTAATTCTGAACTTAGTTCAGTTAAACACAAGTGCTATGTTCACATAATGTGCTAAGCTGAAAAAAATATTATGGTTTAATAAGATGGTTTATTCAAGACAGCACATAAAACAATAGTTGCTTGCCACTGAATCACAGACTATTTAATCCCATTTTAGACAAATTTAAGGCACTGAGTAAATACAGCCATAGAAAAGCTTTCTCTAGCGATGTGTGCTCCAAGAGTATCAATGCAGCCTTCTGTAGATTCTTATTTAATGTCTCTTAAATATAATTTTGCTTTGTGGAAGTATAGGTTCTGCTTAAGGTTAGGCCTATTTTTATAAGCTCCTGTCCTTCAGGTTATGTTTTACTTACTCCCCCACCCCCATTATTTTATCTTCTGTTTTGCAGTTGCCAAGCCAAACAGCTTGTTTTGGCTCTGTATGCTATCTACTTCATGAAATACTCCACATTCCCCACAAGCTCATAACATATAAAAATAGCTCTTTGGATTCTTTGTGGTATTCTCTGGTTTTAGTTCAGAGTTGAATATGTGTCAGTTCAGATCCAGCTTGATTCAGCATGATGGGAGTCAGCCTTATAATGCAACCCATATATGCTGGGATGGATGGCAGTGGTTGGATATGGAGCCTACAAGGGAACTTGTAGGAGAGTGCAACTTCCTCAATCTTTTTTTTTTTGATCCATGGAGAATCTTTCCCAACTTGGGCATCATCTCGATAAGTCAGTATTGGGAAATGTGAGAAATCTGAAGAATGCCTAGGTTGTTGAAGTCTATGATACAGCTGATGAGAAATGTTCAGCCATAAGCAGCCTTGAAGTGAATTTAATTAAATTTCCTGGTAGAAGTGGGAGAAGAAAGACCTTCACATATATTCCTTCCCTGATGATCAAGCCAGGATATAAACAAATGTCATTGATCGGGTGATTAAAAGATTCAAGGGTAGCAAAAGAGTTTTTGGCTTAGAACACCCTTCCCTACGAATGGCTGTGAGTTATATGGACTTAGGCCTCCAGGATGCTCCAGCTGTTGTGATAATTGCTGAGCATTGTAGGAAATGATGTCTCCCCCCCCCCATCAGAAGAGTCCGAGGGATGATGAAAGCAGGTCTAGGATTTCTAGAAAATGTCTTAATGGACAAAGCTGCACTTAGCATTTGTGAATGGAGTGAAAGCTGCAATAGATAGGACACATTATGAATGATTGGAACCGTGTTACATACATAGGCAGGAATGAGATTTCCAGAAATTGGATTGGACTTTTGGGAGGAGGTTGGACATAGTCTTTGTTTTTTAATTGCATTGCCATACACTATGGTTTTGTGCTTCCTTGCTTGTGCTACAACTGGCATTTGGCATTATGGTTGGATGGGATTGCCATAGAAGAAAATTTGAGAAGAAGAGAGTTGTGCCGGTCCTAGAACTTTAGGTTACTGTAGGAGATGATCAGGTTGAGTCCGAAGGACGGGTCAAATGCATCATCAGTCATGAGTCCCTTTGTGCCCCAACAGATCTAGTCCAGCCCACCTTGAATTCCTTCTATTCTTATCTCCCACTAATTTCCCTTGGCCATTAGTAGTTCGGATACTTGTAGGGAGCTTAAGGTTGTAATAAATCTTTATACCCTTTTGAACTGTCTGGATCTCCTAATTTTCCTGGTGTTTGATAGTTACCTCTTCTAGGTGATCATTCTCTGACTAATGCAGCAGTGTCAAAGGGGTGTATTGTTAGAATCTTTTTCCATTAGGTTTGTATTTCTTTTTTATATCTGTAAAGTATTAGGATTTAATCTTTAGTATTGAATGGATATTTAATTGGGCAGAGTTGGGAAGGAAATATGCTTTGTATTGTCTTTGGACTGGGGAAATAGTTGAGGTATGCAAGATGGTTTTTTACGTGACTGAATATGCTTACATTTTAAAAAGCCGTCTTTTAAAATATGAAAGGAAGGAATTCTTAGTGAAACAAAAGTTTGAGTTGGGTTGGGAATTTTAAATTTAAATATTGTATATCCAAGCTAAGTAGCTTGTCCTGTTTTAATTCTACGAACATTTTTCCCATCTCTTTGTCCAGTGTAAACATAGGCTGTTATTCCATGGTAGAGCTCTCAACAACTAGTTTTTTCTTATTTTTTATTTTAAAAAAAGGAGATCCTGGTCTGGCCAGAAGATTCATATGGCTGTATTGCCTTGAATCCACAGCAGTGGTTTGTGTGAGAGGAAATGACTTGCAGATATCATGGACCAAGACTATTCTTCTGAAAAGCATGATGGAGGAGAAAGAACTTCTTCAGTAGCTTTTGACCAGGCCATGTTGCCTTTTTAAATTTTACTGTTGCAGTTCCCCCCCCCTTGTCTAGAGCCTCTAAATCAGGCATGTCAAACTCGTGACGTCGCGCGACGTATCACAACTTTTCCCCCATTGCTGGCAATGGGGTGGGCGTGGTTTCGGCGTGACGATCCGGCCCGTGGGCCGGCAGTTTGACATGCCTGCTCTAAATGATTGTTTCCATTTGAACATTTTCTGCATTTTTTTTTGGGCATCATGTCCTGTAATAACTCTTAAGGAATGTGTATTTTGTACTTAAAAAAAAAAAAAAAAGAATTCCGGGTGGGCAACTCCATTTCTCAATAGCCTTACTCAAGATAACCAATGACAAAAGATTACACAATCCAGCAACATCTGGAAGGCAGTACATTGCTGACCTCTGACTTAGGTCACCCTTCAAAGTAAGCAAATTATTTAAATGTTCAACCTCTTCTCTGACAAAACTTTGCCTACATCGCTTCTTGCCAGCAGAGAAGAGGAAGAATGTTTCTTTCCTCCAAGCTAGGCTAGAATAAAGAATTGTTCTGCCTCATCTGTGCTGCTACAGAATTGTCATTTTTACATTGCCAAATGTAAGTTGCCTTACCTTACAAACATCAGTACTCTGTACAAGGTGCCCAATAATGTTTATAGCTGAAATGAGCTCCTCCCTTGTCTTATTTTAACTACTGTTTGTCCATGGAAAAGAACTAATGTTCATTGTTTACTTTTAATTCCCTAATAGAGTCAAATGGAATTCAGTATTGCTTCTCTGTTGATCCAAGAACCGGGGGCTGCAGTGCCTCAGCACGAACAGAAACAGCCTAGCAAAACTGCACCTGGCCCCCCAGCCCCCAAACCTTCCCAGGGTGTTAAACCACAAAACTCAGACGGGCTTATACCGGCCAAAAAAGAGGAGGAGTCCTCATTTTGGAAGATAAATGCTGAGCGCTCCAAGTACGAAGGGGAACAGTCGGAGTTCCACTCGCTAACCCCAAGCCAAATCAAATCCATGGAAAAAGGAGAGAAAACCCTCCAGCCTAATTATAGGCAAGAATCTGGTCCAAAAGAAGTAACTAAAGCAGAAAAGCCTAGTGCTCCGAAGCCTGAAAAAGCGATCCCCCCAGTTGTTCCCACAACACCTGTAGAATGGGAAAAGCCTCCATCCAACCAACCTGCAGTTAGTGCCTTTGAAGCTCATCCTGACCCTGCAGAGAAATTGTCATCTGCTGCAACTCAAAATGAAGATACCCAAAGCAATTTTGTTCCAGATTTGCAAGGATTTGACCAGGTAAGGGCTGATTCTTAATCTGTCCTGTTACGGTATGGTAGGTAGAAAGAACCCAAGCAAAAGTAAACAAATAAAAATAAAACTTCTCCCCCTGCCCCTCCCCCCGAATCCAAGAAAATGACTTCTGTAGAGTACTAAAACCTTACAACTGAAATCCTTTGTTTTCCTCCCAATCTAATCTAAGATGTGAACATCGCTCTTTCATATCTTAAAAATGTGCAGCATATGCTAGTAATAGATTGCCCGAAGTCCTACATGCTGTTCCATAAACATAAAGTTGATTACTGTCTGTAGATTTTGCCTGTACTGTACATGTGACATTTGTAGCAGCACTTCCAGTGTGCAGAGAATGTCTTAAATACATGTAGTAGAAAAGGGAAGGTAGTTTCTTTCCATTCATGAGGGTAGAACCGAAAACTGATTATGAAGAGCTCCCCTTAAAATTGAGTGAGTGTGCAACCAAAAGAGCATGCATTCATTTTAATTACCTGAAAAATAATGCACTTTAGGGTGCATGCACAAGGTCCGAGCTTTCTGTAACTAAACAGGAAATTGAGGATGTGGGATTGAGGGTGTGGGTCAGAATCAGTAGCTCAATGAAGACATCAACTTGATGCATGATAGCTATGCAAAAGACAGATTTCATGCTCAGGATTATTGTGAAAGGGGTTGAAAGTAAAACTGCTGGCAGTGTAATGCCTTCTTTGCCAATCTAACATGCATTCACATCTGGAATATAAAGCAGAGTTCTGATTGCTGCATTTGAAAAAGGATATAATGGAGTTGGGAAATGTGCAAAAGAGGACAGCCAATGTGGAAAGGGGACCTGAACCTATGAGAAAATGGTGGGATTCTTCATCTTGAAGAAAAGGTGAAAGGCAGGGGACATGATTGAAGTATATAAAATCATTAAAAATTATAAAAATAAGTAAAATATAAAAGCAAGGAGAAAGTAGACAGAGTTTTTTTCTTCTTTCAAACAATTGAATCATGGGTTATCCAATGAAGTTTATTAGAAGAATATTAGAACAATAAAAAGGAAGCACTTTTTCACAACACAAATAGTAACTTTCATGACTTGAAGATATGGTCACGGCTAGTGGCTTTGAAAGGGTTGGATGAAATCATGGACAAGTCTTGCAGAAGCAGTTAGTCTTATTGCTGGGTTAGGAGCAGGAGTCACCCAAATGCTCTTCACAGGGAACAGCAGTCTGGGAGAGACATGTATTTTAAAGGTTCCCAGAGTTGCATTGTTTGAGTTGGGCAGCCATATAAATTCTTCAAATAACTAAAAATAAATCTAAAAATGTATGTCTGTATCTCTTTTTGTTGACCTCCGTGAGAAACAAAAATGCTGGCCTAAGAGAGACTTTGGCATGATCTCACAGAGCTATTATTATGAGATGTGTTTGAATATTAGTAGCTCAGGTTGGTAGTTGGACTGTAGGTTTGGCCGCAAATGTTTCGTCTCCATCCGAGGGGACATTTTCAGTGCACTTTGAATCGAAAGCACACTGAAGATGTCCCCCTGAATGGAGATGAAACGTTTGTAGGAAAATCGCCAAGTTCAGAGATCAAACCTACAGCCCAGCTATCATTATGTTTATATGTGCATGACCAGGTAACAACTAATTGAGCTTGTACGACGGATTAGTATGTAGAATTATTCCATATTGAATTTGATTATCCAATATGAGGACAATTGGACAAAAAAGACTTCCGTATCTTAGAACTTTGTTATTTCTGGCCTAGATTATACCTCACATATAAAATCTGTTTAGTGGTTGAAGGACAAAGAGATGAGCAATCCCGTCCCCACTCATTTTATGGAAATAGTTCTTTAAGGGACTAGTTCAGGGGTGTCAAACTCAATTTCATTGAGGGCCGCATCAGCATTCTGATTGTCCTTGGAGGGCTGGGTGGGTGTGGCCAGGGTGGATGCGGCCTACTGGGTGGGCGAGGATGGAGTGGGTGTGGCCTACTGGGTGGGTGTGGCCAGCTCTACATGGTTCACATCAAGGGTGCCTGTGGGGGCCTGGGCAGGAGTGGGACAGATCTGGGGGTCTCTGGCAGAAGGGGGTGGGACCGGGGCAAGTGCCAAGGCATGGTCCACTGGAGGAGCCTCATTGTTCCTCTCAGGCCATGCAGGGGGGGGGGGCTTATGGAGCTAAGACTGAATGCGTTTCAGCATAGATGGCCACCACAAAATTGTACATTGGCTCCCAGCTGGCCTGGCCCAGGGCCAAGGCAGAGGGGGCCATTCCCTCACTGTTTCTAGGATAGCTTCGCGGGCCACGTGAAACCACTTCGCGGGCCGCATCCGGCCCCCGGGCCTTCCGTTTGACATGTCTGGACTAGTTGCTTGAAGTGTAAGGGGGAATAATGTGCGATGTTCATTTTTGTGCAAGTAATGTTGGTATTCTGGATAACCCAGCCTTATCATGCAAATATTCCTACACATCTCCCGTTAATGTTAAATATTGTTTGGGTAGTATTTCTGGAAGCTGAGCCTTCTGAGAGAAAGTCCAGTGAAGAGCCAGTCATAATCTGAATATTTAAAACAGCAAGATATTTGAGCACAGCCATATATGATATTCCTTTCTAGCTGGTAGTAGAAGAGAGGCAATTCTTTCATAGCCTTCCTTCCCCAATTCCTGCTAGCCTTCTAGAGGAAATTTTTGGGAAGCCATAAGATATCCAGAAGGGAGGGACAATTAATGAAAACCCATCTCTGATGGAAAGCCTTTGTTGAATCAAAAGCTTTTCTAATACAGCGTATGCAGAAGGCCAGGTCTAGACCGAAACCATTATATGATATTGTTGTAACTCTTACTTTGGTTATTCTTGATTTTACACCTTTTTGAATTTTAACTACTTGCTTTCTTTTCTAAAACTTTTTTTCTTTCTTTCTTTCTGCAGGGTAATGCAAATAATGTTATCCTGAAGACGGGATTTGATTTTCTGGACAATTGGTAGACAAAAACAATCCTTCAGTTAGGTTTTGAAGAAAGAAAAAGAGCATCTCTCTCCATTTTGTCTTTGATTTCTGTTACTGGTTTTTCTGTGTGTTTTTAAAACTTTTTTCCCCAGTTCTTTTTTAATGGTGCCCTTTGTACTAATACTTTTTTTGTAGAAACCTGATAAGTATTTGTATTTTGAAGTGATCCATTGTTAGAAGGTTGGGTGGATTTTTTTGATCTTTTATTAATTGCCATTTTATGCATCATATTTGGTGATGAACAGGGATACATTGCCTAATATTTGTATGTATGCTAAGGACAAAGTGTGCAATCTAATTAGAGAGAAAATGAAGCCATCTGACAGAATACCCATATTTATTTTACACATGAATGCCAACAGCTAATAGGCTACCATCTGTATTATTAAATACATTTGTACAAGAAGATGATCGTTTATATCAAGCACAGATAGTTTTTAATATCATCTGTCAGAGCCTTGGCTAGTAGGTTCAAGGTTCTGGAATTAGTGGTCCAAAACATTTTGTGAATACCTTATGGTCTTTTCCTAATAGAGGAAAGATGGAAGCACAGATTCCAAAAGCCCAAAATTCAGCACATCTCTTTCAAATATATTATGCAGGATATAAATCTGCAAACATTTATTTATATGTTTATTTTTACATTGGTCTATGACACTTGAGTTGGATGCAGGAAAAAAAAAAAGCTTTAGCTGATAATGCGGTGTGTGCTGGGAGGGTGTGTATGGTTACTTTTGTGTTCTTTCTGGGAAATGAGGCCTAATTGGTACACAAATTAGGATCGTTCGTTAAAAATAAAACATTTAATAAAATGTATTTAATATGTTTTATTATAAAACTTAAAGGGAGAAGAAAGGAGAGACTAGCTTAGAGAAATAATCAAATACATGGATTGAGCTGCCTTTTACTGGTTAAAAACCATCCGGTAAAAGGATCTTCAGAAGAATAACTAGTTTGTTTCATCTCTTTTGGCGTAGCAGCAATGAAGCACATTTTGAAATGTAGCTCATTTCCCTTACCCTCGTCCCAGAAGTTACATTTCTTCAACATGTTTATTGCAAGGCATTGTGACACTTTCTTTAAAAACAAAGCACTATATTTAAAAAAAATGTTTCATGAGATTCCTGATTCCTGGTACTGCTTCCCATAGTGGGAATAGAACCTGAATGTATCACAAACATCCTGTTGTATTAGATTTTCCGTTGTTTTAATATTACAAAGAAAGTATTTTACATGGAGGAACACTTTAAAGATGACATCCCTCACCTGCACCTTGAAGTGGGCCAGCATACCACTTTCTTTGGCTGCACACACACAGACCAGCCTTGTCCAGCATCTGCAACATCCAGAAATAGCTATGCAACTGACATCGCATTTCTGTAACTTCAAAAAGTATTGCGACTTCTCTCCCCATCACCTTCAAGCCTTAATTCCCCTTTCTGCACAAATTGTGATTTCTCCAACCAAATACCAAAGGTTATTGAATTTCTGCTTTTGACCTTGAGAATTGGATTTCCTGAGAGACGACCCAATAATAGATATACACTATACACATGTACCTCTGATGCCATGTGGAATTCTCACAAAGTCTGTTTGGGCATTGTATCTGTTGTCAGGCTGGCTAATTGTAGCCTTCTTCCTTACTAGCCACCAGATAAGTGGTTCCACTTTCAGAGTTGTCCATTGTCCATACCTGTGAGTGGTGTGAACTGAAAAGTCATTTCTCTACAAATCATGTGTTGTTCTGTTTTATTTCAGATTACTTCCTATTCCTTTTGCTGCTTATATATACACTCATTAACAATGTTTATGACAAAAGTTAAGAGGCCAGTTCTGAATCTTGCCCTAAAAGATATAATGGAAAATAAAACTGGGTAGTCTTCAAATTCAGTTCCAAAATTCATGCTTTGCAGTGTGTGGAGGCCAGAATATATAGCACTGATATGCAGCTGTCCCTCACAAACTGGAACACCATTTTGGAATCTGATATACAGCATTGCACAACTTTAGAAAATAATAAAATGGAATTAATTGTAGAGAACACTATGAAAAATGCTCTTTTTCAGGGGTGTTTTATGTGCCATCACAGACACACACACACTACACAGGACACTGGGATATTTGTGCTAAAGATCGGAGTAGGAAACTGTAGAAGACTGTCTATCTTCAGATGCTTGACTTTGTCTTAAGATATTTGGATTAATTGGTTGTTCTTAGTAACTAGCACCACATTTCCTACTGTGGAGATGTTGCTTTGGGTTTCCTGGTGCACACCTACATGGCAACATAACTATTAGTGTCATATAAGAGTCCATTGACTTGGGGTAGCTGATGTGAATAATTGGCATTTCTGGAATTGCTTAACTTTTGCTGCTGAGCCAAAGAGGGAAGATTTTCATTAATGAAAAGAAGTGCCTGACACTTGATTGGATCTAGTTTGTGTGCCCTGTTTCAGTGTATTTAAAGACACCATAGTTATAAAAAAAAAAAACCTCAGTGGTTTTTATTTAAGAAAAGAGTACTTGTTTGATTCTTTAAAAAGAAACAAGTCTTTAAAAAGGAATTGGCATAAATTCAAGCTGAAGACATTTCTTCAGTGTATTTTTAGATGATAAAAGGGAGCCTTTCCAACGTTGTCAGAATATAAAGTGTTTTTCCAGCTCAGGATCTCTTGTTCAGGCTAACCAATTCAAGAATTAAATAAGTGCAGTTTGGTTTGACTAGAGCTTTCCATTTATATATCAGTGGATGTGGGGGTTAATGTCCTGAGGTCATTGAAGCAACATTTTTAGATTGCTGCTCTTAAGCAATGAAATGGAGTAAACTGGGCCTAATTCTCCTACTGTGTCTATCTCCAATCCTGTTTATCTTAATGGAATTTTTGCAAGGAACCTCTTGATGGATTTTACACATTGGAACAGTTAACACTGTATATTGCCTTTCTCTTCAGTATAGTTTCATGGATAAACCTGATGTTTCCCCCTTTCTTGGATGTTTTTATTGAGGTTTTATTCACAATTGTATTTGGCTACAATTCATATCTGATTCTTAATTAAAATCACCTGACATGAACCACTGTTGTTTCTTTCCTTGTTTTAATGTCTCTCTCTCCTTGTTTATAGTCATGTTCTACTTGTGATTAGCACCATGTGAGGCTGTCAAAATCTCTTGTAAATCTTTGGGTGCATTCACACTTTTAAGTTGAGAATTAGCTTGTAGGTGAAATACAGTATTACCAATTCTGTGGATAACAATTTCTACAGAAGCTTCTCATATTCATCAAACCAATGAAAGTAGTGTCATGTCACAAGCCCCACCCCTTTGGGAATGTGCTAGCAATGTTGTGATATACATTTTTTTTAAAAAAAATGGGGCTTGTATGATAGCACCAGTGCTGCTTTCATCATTCTTATCCCCTTTTCCCAGTGGACACCGCTAACTATAGAAACATTTTTGTATTGTCTTGTTAATGGTGGGTAAGATTAAGTTAAAGTTAATTAGAAACACTGTCTTACTATATTTTTTTATAGAAAATGATCTGATTATTGGATATGAAATATAATATGCAGAAGACATATAGTAATTTTTAGTGGTGAAACTTCAGCATATGTTCCCTTTTTCGTAGACCCTTGTGCTGCTTCTACATAAAGGTCACAGTTAGAACTGTTTTCATGCCACACTGTGCTGTATGATATCATACATACGGACACACCCAGGTAATCACACCAAAATACCCAAGTAATGATATAACCAAATATAGCTTCACATTTCAAAATATTTAGCATATCTCTGGGATCTCAATAATTGAAATATATAATGTACTTTCAGTGCAGTCTTTACCTAGAGATCCTACCTTGTATGGAAGAGCATGCGCATGCTTGAAGAAAAACTTGGCTTTGATTGAGCTTATGGCATACATCCCAAAATGTGCCTGACTGTGTTTTCAGTACCGTGAGGATGGTATTGCAAGTGGCACAATTACAGGTAAGCTTGTCTACACCAATCTTGCTCAAAAGAATTATATGAAAGCCTCAACAGATTAAAGCCACAACAACTTCATGATCCAAGTCAAACAATACTGAAAGGTATTATTAAATGCTGGAAAGGAGAGTGAAGGAATAGGGTTACATTACAAGTATTGATTTCTTTTCTGAAGGATGTGGTCCTGAGAAAGTGAACAATTGGCTACCCATATGGGATCCATGGATATGGCTTGGATTCCTGGATATGTGTCTTGAAGTATTCCCAGCAAAAAAATAGACTGCACCCTACAAGCCCTGGGAAGAATAGAGAGCCAGTTTGGTACAGTGCCAGACTAGAAACCAGAAGACTCTGCACTCTAGTCCTTCCTTTGGCATGAAAACTTGCTGAGTGACTTTGGGCCAGGGCTTGCTCAGCCCAAATCACCCCATAGGACTATTGTGGGGAAAATAGAATGTGTTGGCATTAGGTATGTATGTTGCCTTGAGTTGATAAAATATAAAGACATGATGTTTGGAAGTTGCCTGGTAAACTCAATACTAAGGGGTTAAATAAAATGCTGGAGGAGAAGGGGGAAGAACCCAGAAAATAGAACAAGGTCAAGTATTGAAAATGGGATTGGGAGGGGTGAACAGCATGGAGAGGCACCCAATAATTAACATGCAAATCCAGGAACATAGATGAAGCTGCACTATTCAAGGGTATACAATGTAGAGAATATGGGAAACAAAACAGGAAGGAAAGATTGATATAATAGCAGATACTACTGAAACCCGGGGAAATAAAATTCACAAATGGAATGAAAAGTTTGAAGGAGAAAAAACATTTAAAAAGCGGGGAGGCCTAACATTATATGTAAAAGAAGCAGCACATTTATTGGGATCTAATAATTTGAGCATGAATATCCAATAGCATTTGTTTAAAAAAATACAAGGGAAATAGCTAGGCAGAAACTGGGCAGTTTCAAGGGGCATGGGTATGAGTAATCACAGGCATGTCATGATACCAGTACCCAAATAATGCAAACTTACTTCATTTGTGCAATGATGTCATAACACATGGTATCATTGTGACTTCGAACAACAGCTATGCATGTTTTGGTACATATGCATGTTTCAGTCCATACATAGAATGTAGATCAGTGGTTCCAAGCAGAGAAATGCATGTGCATGAAACATTTTGCACATCCTTGATAACCATTTGTGGTGCAGGTAGAATGTATAGAAGAAAAGGAAAAACAAGCAGAAGTGTTTCATTTGAATCATTACACTATTAGTATATGTGCTGCTGAAGTGAGCATGCAAAGGTGTTTTATTTAACTATATGTCATTTGTGTATCTCCCAAGAAAAAGCTACATAGCCTCATGGGCCCATAGATATTGGCCATGCACAAAATCAATAGTTTGCAGAGCTATGCTTTGCCCATCTCTTTTTCCACAGACCTACACAGTATTTGTAATCTGCTATCCATTCATGGATCATATCCGCTCATGATCATATCTGGGTGAGCCCTCACGACCTATCTCAGGGGTCTTCAAACTTGGCCCTTTTATGACTTGTGGACTTCAACTCCCAGAATTCCTCAGCCAGCGTGCCTGGCTGAAGAATTCTGGGAGTTGAAGTCCACAAGTCATAAAAGGGCCAAATTTGAAGACCCCTAACCTATCTCTTCAGGGTTGGACTGATTCATGGAAGTCACGGAGAACAATGACTATTAGCCATAACAACTGTGATATTGCCTCTGAAGGCCATATGTTGGGAGACTGGTGGGCTTCTTTGTGCAGTTAGTTGGCCACTATGAGAACAGTCAGTTGAACTAGATGGGGCAAGAGTAGAAGGGTCTGATCCACTGTTTATGTTATGCCCTTCTTTCTACCTAGCAACAGTCAATTTTAAAAAGAAAATACATTACCAACCTTCAGATAGCAAGCATTTACATTCCTCTACAATCCATGTTGACTTCTGTTTATTTTAATGCATGGAAGTCCAGAGGGAGATTAAAGATAAACCAGAATTGTGAAGAAAACAAGATAGGGGAAGAGGTAGTTTCTGCAAAGATTAATGACTTAACTGTGAAGAAACTTATAAATAAAAACAAAAAAAAACTGTTGCCAAGAAGACAAATTGGGAGTCAGAACAAATGTTGAAGTTAGCGCACAACTAAACTTTCTTAAAAGATGGGTTCTGGAATTAAGGTTCTGATTAATGGCAACCATCTGTTCTTTTCAACAGATGGGGCCATCCTTTGCATTAATAAGAATACAGACCCAAATATGTAGTCAGCAAACCTCACATCAAAATATGCAGAGTTCTCCACTAGTGCCTATAAATAGACTGGGCTCCCTTTGTTCTGAGTTTCAATAGAAGCATCCATCTATGAATTTAGCACATTACCAATCATGAAAATAACATTGCTGGTAATGGTCAAACTAATTAAACTCAAGTGGAGAAAATCCAGACAGACTTTTGCTTACATTATGAGAAGACAAGGTTGATTTTATCTTGTCAGCTTAAATTTCTTGGCAACTTTTTAGCCTCTCAACAGTGAAAACAGAATTTCCAGCTTAGAGAATAACCTTATTACATTTCTTTTGTGTCCAGAATTAGAATGGGAATTTCCATGGCTTACTGGGAAAGCAGAGACTGCCTAAAATTGCAGAAAGTTATGTATTTGATCACTGGTATGTCTGGGCAGCCAATTAGACTGGTGATAGTTAAGACCTCCACTGAGATTTTGAAGATCTAATGCCTATCATATTAAGTAATACTGCCCTAAATTCACAATCTAAGCCATTATAAAGCATTTGCCTTTTATTCTTTATTAAGTATTCTTGGCTTGTATTGATTCAAATCTGTCAATATTTTGCTAATACCTGATCATTTTGAGGACTTTTCTCAACTTCAAACTGACTTTTGCCTCTCTAATGCACAACAGTGTCAATATAGTCATGTCATCCACATTTTGATGGCTCAGTATGGACCAGATGCTTTGGCTATTTCAAAGAAATCTGAGATGCTTCCATCTCTGATAGAGCTGATATCCAACACTAATCCCGCATTGTATTTATATCAAAAACTAAAGAATGTTTGTCAAATTGTTATGAATAACACTTACAATTTGATGGACTAAAGAACTGAAACATCCAGCAATGGAAGATTGACAATTGCAGGTCTTAAAAGTTCTCAAATTAATTTCCTCAGATTTAAGATTTAAATTGATTCATCAAAAGATTCAATTTTGAATTCATTGGACATCTCAAAAATGCATTTAAAAGAATGGTCATCAGATTTTCTTTGATGGTAATGTAAAAAAATATGGAGTCATTGAATCATAGGACTTGGTAAACCAAATATTCTAGATGGAGATTTACAGCCAAACTTAGATGAGACCACACAGACTCTGAAAGAGCAAGTGCTCTTTGTTAAAGACTTTGTGTTAAATGGAGAAATTCAGGATAAATTTTCCAGTCGGCTAAGGCAGCAAAGCAGCCATACCTCTATTTGGAGACAACTAAATGTATTTTACTTTTTCATACATTGGTATGTGAAGGTTCTACTATATCCATTCTTTGTACTTATGTATGTGAGACAAAGGAAAAGAGAGATCTGCCATTACTAGTTTTCCCCATAGCAATAATAATCCTGTTGGCCAGAAAAATCAATGGAGTTTGTAATTCTAAATGTCTATGTAACTTGGATCTCAGTCAACCAGGTCCTGGTTGTCCCAAAAATGCTTTTTTAAAAGGCAACTGGACTTTCTTTGTTTTTTCTTTGAAAACATTTCACTTTTCAGTTCTGACTGAATGCTGGGGAATGGAAGGATTTATATTCCTTGCAGTCATCTGGTCATTAGCGCTCTTTCTGAGAGTCATTGAGGCCACAGATAACCCCCCAAGTGGCCTCAATGACTCTCAGAGAGCGTGCAAACAACCAGATGACCGCAAGGAATATACTGTAAAACCTTCCATTCCCCACCATTTTGTCAGAACTGAAGAAGCTTCTTGGATGGGAAGCAAAGCATCTTCAAAGAAAAAACAAAGAAAGTCCAGTTGCTTTTTGAAAAAGCACCTTTGAGATAATTCTGGACCTCATAATCTGGACTCCTTTGTATTTATTCCAGTTTTATACAAAGTAGGAGACAAGTAAAAGCCAATTTCTTTAGTGGGCAATGTGGTGGAGTGCCAAAAATATAGTCACGCTAATCTTTTAGGAGGTGAATTGGATTAGTTTGCAAATCTAATACTTTTAGGTACCAGGCAATGAATTGTCAAGTTTAAATGGAATTTGAAAGGACAATCACATATCTGTGTTTCAAGGTCAATCAAGAGTAAAGCAATCAAGGTCAATCAAGAGTAAAGAAGAAATGAGGAACTTCATTCTCATTTCCTGGAGCATTATTAGAGCAACATAGATAATATTAGTAAGTCATAGGCACCAACTTCTCTGCA